TGAACGGATTGCTTACTTGAGGATGTGTTTTTAAGGGCACGGATAGAGCTTCCGACCCCCCTTAATTTCATTGACCCTCCACACGAGTTGAGGAAAAGGAGTTAAAAGAAGTACTCTGGCGAGCGCCAGATGTACAAAAATTTCTCTTGCTCGACTAATAAGGGTCGACCGTGGAAAAGACTGCAGTTGGAACCCCTGCTAAGTGAAATAAGAAAAAAACAAGAAAAATGTGAATGAAAGTTCAAAAAGGGGTTCCAATGGTGAAATGAAGTGAAAGAGCACCCCGGTACAACGAGTCCTTGGTTGTGAATGTTGTGAGTCCCTTTATCCATGAACTGACTGTCTTACTTCCACTTCTTCTCATGATCCTGGCTTGAGTCTAGTACTCGCATTGAGAGAGATAGGGGACATCTTAGAAGACTAGTTGACCTCGTAAGCTGCTTTATGATCCAGAAAATCCTCTACAGACGATCGGGGTTGTTTTTTGCTATAGAGGTCTGGAGAGCTGCATTGGTTTGAGTTAGGTTTGCTTGGGGACAAGCAAACGGTTAAGTGTGGGGGAGTTTGATAGGCCATTGATTACACAGGTTTTTACTCCTATTCGTGAGCCATTTGAGATGTCGATTTCCGGCCGATTTCACGCTAGGTTGTTCTTGTTTGTGATATTTCAGGTCCTAGTACGTGAATGAAGGCTTGGGAATGAGTTCGGGGTCGATTGGACGAAGATCATACGTTTGGCGAGGAGCTGATGGAGCCACACGGGCAGGCCTAAAGCCTACACGGCCGTGTGACATGGCCGTGTGGCTTCAAATTACACGGGCAAAGTCACACGGGCCGTGAAGGAAACCCATCGTGGCCGTGTGAAGGCTCGGCAAATCCCACACGTGCAGCATGGACACTCACACGGGCGTGTGGGTCGTGGTTTGCACACCTCACACGGGCAGCTGGGGATGTCACACGGCCGTGTGGCCTGGCTGTGTGAGTCAGGATTTTCTGGTTTTTAAGCCGATTTCCAGCCACAAGTGAGGGGTTTCGAGTTTTAGAGAAGGAAAGTGATTCCTAGAGAGAGAGAGAGAGAGCGACGAACCAGAGTTCCCAAGTGCCCTAGTTTGATCTTCATCACCATTGAAGCTCAACTCACACTTGGAGAAGTGCCGATTGACGACCAGGAGCAGATTCTCATCCTTCACAGCATGATTTCTGCATCTGAACTTGCTTTTGCTTATCTCTCCATGGAGTAACTTCCTCATTCATCTGGGTATGGAGAATCCTAGATTTGTGTGTTAGGTCTGATTGTATGAACCCAAGTATAGATTCTTTGATATGATTATGTTCAATTGAGGTTTGAATTGTTGAATGGCATGAATCCTTATCAAATTCCTGTTGTTTCTGCTTTAACCTAGAAAGAGAATATCTGCCTAGGTTGATAGAGCACCCTTGATTGAAGGTAGGGATTTGGTGACTTTAGTCGAGGAGCCAACTCAGTATTTTGTACCGAATTCACTTCGGTAGTGGAAGTTTTGTTCATTAGGGCCTCAATCTGTTTACTCCGGTGGAGGTTAGTCGCCCGCTGGAGACTCAGATTGAGAGGGTCTGGAGACCTTTAGTCGAGACTTCAGACTGTTTAAGAACCTCCCGCAGTATAACTATCATAGAAACTGAACTTGGTAAATTGCAATCCGGCTTAACTGCAGTCTATGGGGAACCATATCCGGGTGACCTCTCTCGACTTGAAAACAACTGTTTAACTAGCTTGTTTGTTTGTTAGTTTAGACCTGCACTAAAGTTTTACTGCTAGATAATAAGAATTCACTGAGTTGTCATCACATCTAGAACCCGGGTTGACATTAAAACCCAAACCCGCTATACTACGCTTTAGGAAGTGGTTACACTTGGCTATTTTCTAAAGTGACAGTAGGAGTGAGTCATTCGTTCCTATAGGTGTCAAATTGGAGTCCAAAGTTTGTCTCCAAAAATTTTATTCAAGGACTACGAGTGGTCTTCCATACTCTATCTTTAGAGGCGACAAGTTGTCACCTAAGACTTGTAGGGACGAAAAATTGTTACCTATCTAATTTTTATGTAGGTTGTATATTCCCTGTTGTAAGGAGTAATTCTTAGGGTCACTAGAATATTACGCTATGGAGATAGTTTCTTTGCAAACATACATTTTTAAACTACACAAGAACTCAACGGAGCAAGTTAGAAGGCCAAACTGATGGCTAGCATTGAATTTGTTATAGTAGTGAATATACAATGGAATTGGTGTTCCCTACGAATACAAAAATTAATATGTATCTACTTGTTATATACAAATAGAATAAGAAACACAAAAACCACCACCACAAATGTGTTGCCGCTGCAATGTGCCGTCGTTCATCACCGTCTTGCCACCAACATATTTGCAATCATTACTCAAACACCATTATCATGGCATCGTCGTCACGGCATCTGCAATGTCGTTGGTAGCTTTATCCTCGCTTTCGAGCCTAGAAGAAAAGAAAACAACAAATGTAAACTAAAAAAGATCTAAATCTAATATTGAATTAAATACCGAAAACCTAGAAGAAGAGGAACTAATCTATGTCGTACCATCGCCTGGCCACTACTGAAGAGGAGAGGTAAGTGCTGGTGAATAGAGGGAGAGAGAATTGTCGGCGCTAAACGAAAAAGAGAAGGAGGCAAAGAGCTAGTCGAACGAACGGAATAGAACATTCGGCCAAAATAGGGTTAAGATTAGAATGTAGCTAGGGTTACCGTCGTACTTAAAGTTGAATGGACGTTTGAGATTAAAACTTATTTAAATGAACGTCTGAGATGAATTAGAGAGTCCTAGAGAGGTAGATTAAGGTAGATGCGGTCCTGATTCCATCCCATGGTGAGCTGTTGTACATATTTGTTACTTTGTACGACGAATATGGCTTTAGCCTCCCCGCCCCATACCCATACCCGTCCCACCAAAAATATTTCTTCATATATGAAAAATATGTGAATCAATTTGTAACCTATCAATAATAGTGAGTATAACTCTAGAAAAATATATAGTAGAAATGCAATTGAGTGGCCACACAAATCAAAATCTAACTTCTTTCTCTCAATTTTCCCTTCACTCTTTCACTTTTTCCCCTTGTTAACAAAATTATGTTAGTTAATTATTACTTAATAGATGTATTAGCGTAGAGAATAATGATTTGGATGACATTGTACTCTACTCTGATATGGATTAATGGATGCTTTAGGATAAAATTCTTTGAATCGTATTAAATATGATTGTCTCTTTGTCGACTTCATGATATAGTAGGTGCGTTTAAATGTTGTAATTGAAAATGTACATGTAAAATATTCGGTATTATAATGTTGGATGTACGGGGCGGGTATTACCCATGGGTACCCGAAACCCATGGGTATGAGGATGGGTTTGCAAAACCTTCCCCGCATGGGTATGGGACGGATATGGGTATATATATTTAAAAGCGGGATGGGGATGGTCTAGGCAAACCCGCCTCAAACCCGCCCATTGCCATCCCTACCCCTAATTTAGCTAGCTTGTAAGGACGATCAATTCTTCCTTAGACTATGTCTTTAAGTTCACTAATGGTAACCTATGTAGTGTCCAACTTATACATAGGATAATAGTTTAGTGTGCTCCTAGTTTGAGTACAATTTTTTCAATCTTTTTGGGAAAGTGATAGAACGATTTTACACTAACTCCGTTACAAACTCAATTGCTTCTTACCAAAAATAACGGACAGTTTGTTCATAATTGACCTATAAAATCTAAATATGAAAAGGAAACATAAGTTAGTATGAATATGAAAAGGAAAATAATAACACACTTTATAAATATACTACTGACTGGGAATGGTAGCTCATGAATTGCTATGTGGAAAGGGGAAAACTTAAGGAAAAAATTGGAAGGATACTAGTGATTCATCCAAAGGCCAATCTAAATGTAGGAAAATATTCAGTGTGCAAGGAAAATTGAATTGAGAGCAATATACTAAGAAATTTTGAGACCATATTTTTCTACATTTCCCGGACTTCTTGCTTTTGGGGGCAATTGCGAAAATTCTAAAATTAATAAAACCTATTTTCTTATTTTGTGGGGACAACTTTAAGTGATCGTCCCTAATTTTACTTAAACTCATATTTCCTGAGACAACTACAATGGTCGTCCCCCAATGTTTGTCCCTAATTCTTCCCAATTTTGTAGTGCATGTGGATCTTTTTACATGCTTAATTTTGGTTTTTTTAATGTATTGGCCTCTACGAGTCCTCTTAGATAGAACATACGTGTACTAACCAACCAGCTAGCTAGAGTCGATTTTGGGTTTCAACTTTTTGTACTAAGTAGGGGATATGGTTGTACGTGCTTTTGTTTGCTTTCATTTAAGTAGTAGTTCCGTCTGCTAAAGGTGTTAGTCCCCATATCAACGGAATATATAACATGATTCTAGACAAGGAACAATACAAATGTATGTGGTTTACAATATTATGTAGGTGGGATTTAAATATAATCATTCCATTTCTCACTAATTTCATAAATTGAAGTTTGGCACGAGGGTTCAGCATATGTATGTTGAAGTTAGGTTTTTTCGCATCGGTTGGTGGAAACCACATGCTACCGTTGCCACCACTTGTGACGCCACAAGCAAGGCCTGATGATATATAGCATCAAGAGACACTAATATGAGCGAAGAAGATTGAGATTGGAAACTTGCATCTTCTATTCATGGATTAGCTAACACACATCGTATTAACAAACCACGTAAATCTGCATAATATTTAATTTCTTGCGTTGTCGACTGCTAGATCCGTTCTAACGTATGAAAAATAGATAGTCCAAACCACCAATAAAAAACCAAATGCTGGATAGAGATTTATTTATTGAATAATATTAAGACTATATTGAAAGAATACAATTCAACATTTTGAACGAATCAAGGAAATCCACGGAGCAATAGTTCTTGTATTTCCCCCCAAGTTTTTATTCTTTTTTCTCGTCTTTGCTCGACCGGAGGATTAATCTAGCTACTTGTACGGTTTGAACATCCTCCCTACAATTTGTAACCGATGTTACATTGCAAGAATCTGACGACAACACTAAACAACAAAACATATTATGCACTACGTACAATACCCAATAGAATTCGAGCTATCTAGCCAATCATATCAATTAAGGGGGGAAAATCAATATCATGTCATAGTGGACATCATCTTGACGAATTCATCGTAGTTGACTTGACCATCGCCGTCTAAGTCCGCCTCCTTGATCATCTGTTCCACTTCTTCGTCGGTCAGCTTCTCTCCTAAGTTGATCATGACATGCCTCAACTGTACACATACGTACGAGATCAATTTATATTAGTCATAACGCATTAATTAATCAAACCAATAGTTCATAATTAAACTAAGTAGAATAAATGCAATGTATGTCAAAATCTGTGCAGGTAATTAGCTGGCAATGCCTAGAGGTGATGGTCAAAGTTGTCAACCCATCGGTCCATCCAATTTGATCCGAAACGGCCCACAAAAATGGACTAAAACAACCTACTAAAGCATGCGCCCGGATTTAGTCAACCCGCCAAATCCGAAGAGTGGGTCAGTTAGGGGTGTTCAAATGGTTACCATGGTTATTACCAAACCAAATAAGGCTAAATTTCATTAACCATTGAATACAATATCATAACCAAACCGTCCAAACTAATACAACAACCAAATTAATCAAACTAAAGTTTAATCGGTTTGGTTAATTGGTTAACCAGATTAACCAATATAAAATCACATTATCATTAAGTGAGAAAGTTTTCGGTTAATTTATCAATTCACAATTTATATAATGAGTAAAACATAACAATCAACACATAGTTATAGTTGATCATTAACATAAATACATGCAACTAAGACAATTATCTTACAGTTAGTATAGAAGTATTCACCTAACAAAAATTTATCACAATGGTATGGGTTAATGAATTGTTGTATTTGTTTGAATTGACTTAGTCTTTTAGCAATTTTTATAGGCTGAAAATGACCTTACTTTCAAGTTTTCATCCAACATAATGTATGAGATTTATCTAAACTAGGCGTTCATATGTTGTGGTCTACACTCTACATGTACAAATATACATTATAGGAACAATATCAAGCTTTATATTTTATGAGTCTAAAAGAGATGAATGTTTAACCCTTGAGTGATTATTCAAAGTATTAAGTATGTGTATATATTAGATATATGGCTAATAATTTATCTGGTTAATTTGGTTTGGCTGGTTAGGAGTGTCTGAAACCAAACCAAAACCACCTAAACCAAACAAGCTAAGAGCTTTAACCAAACCAAACCAATTATCCAAATTAACCAATCAAATTATCCAAATAGTACTGATTAAAACGGTTATCATGATAACCACACCGTTTGAACACCCCTAGGATCAGCGCTCAGCGGGCAACTATATGTGCCGTTGTGCGGCGCCGTATCCCACTTCGCTCTCCTTCCCATACAATGATCGCTGCCCCCTTCTCCTTTTCGCTGTCATTCTTTCAACTACCAAATTTGAAATCTTTTTTTTTTAACACAAGTAAAACATAAAGGCAAAATTCATCTGTGTAGCCAAAACTTTCACGTTTATGACAATAATAGCCACTTTGGCGAAATACCAAATATAGCAAGAATTTTGAAAGTTTCATGACAAATATAGCCATTTCCGTTACATGTTTTAACGGCGTCAGTGACACCGTTAGTTAAACTAACGAACGCTTATTTGGCGGCCAACTCAGCGGACACATCATCGACAACTCAACAACACTTGCCACATGGATGCCATGTCATATTTTAACTTTAAAATTATATAAAAAATCATAAATAAAAGCATAATAATACAATAATTAATTCTCCCCTTCATTAGTGTCGTTTACCAGATGGATGCCATGTCATAATTAATCCTCGTCGCCATCAGTCGATCCTCGCCGCCATCAAGCATCTCTCTCCCCCGATTGAATCAAATCCGGCGCTCGTCGGGTCTCAAATTTCTCGTCGAAGCAATGGGGGAAGAAGGGATTTATGGGTAAACGAGCAAAACTAAGCATACAAGATGGGATCTCTGGGGTAGCCAAGAGACTCCAGGGACGCCGTCGACTCCGACGAACCACCTTCCTCTTCTGCTTTCCGCCGCCGCCGCTAATTGCTTCCCCACCGTCGCCCCTACGTACGCGTCGCCTCCGACGAATCACCTTCCTCTAACGCCTTCCGCTGTCGCCGCTAGCCGCTTCCAGTTTCACAGATCTAGAACAGCCCCAGTCTTCCCGGCTCTCGAGCTTTCTCCTTCTTCCTCTTCCCCGCCGCCGCGGTCCCGTTCGACAGATTGAATTAGGGATGAAGGAGATTGCCGATGGAATTTGGGAATATGAGGAGATGAACTTCATGGTTTGGATGTATGATTCGGGGCTGGAGGCTCTGGGGAACTCGATTTGCCTCCTCAAGACAGAGATGCTTCGACGACAATGACAGCGGCGGGTCGCTCCTCTACATCAACTCCCGTCGACGAACTCACGCTTGCCGTTTCTAGTGCTCGCAGTCGGGTACCACCGCTACCAACTCCCTCCTATTGCCGTCAACGATCAGCATCACTAACCACCAGGCCTGCATTCAAGAATTTAGCGAATTTGGGAGGAAGAACTAGGGTTCTTGAATTGGGGTTTCCAAATCCGAATCTGGGGTACAGTTTCTTATGGACCAGGAGTGGTGACCATCATATTCAAAGCTTCTCCTCTATTTTGTGTGGTAAGAAAAGAAAAGTGGTTTAGGATAAGTGGTGGAGACATGGAGGTGGAGTGGGAAGAGAAGATGAACGAGAAGCAGAGTTAGGGGAAGGGATGAAGGGTGAGAGATTTTTTTTTTTAACGGTGGAGAGATTGTTTTTTTTATGTATTCTTTTTGGTAATTTTGTTTTATTTAAGCTCATTAAATAAAAGGTAAAATTATGATGGTTTTCCACTTGGCATTGTTACTTACGAAATTTTTGCCACATCAGCCTTACCGTTAGCCCAGTCAGCACATTCACTAACACCGTCAAACAATTGGACGGAAGTGGCTATTTTTTGGTATTTCGCCAAAAGTGGCTATATTTGGCCAAACCATCAAAGTTTTGGCTATACAAGTGTATTTTGCCAAACATAAAAGGAAACTCAAATGAAACTTTTGAATTTTACTTAAATTGTAATTTTCGTGGGTTTTCTTGCTTAAATTAAACAAATAATGGTACTATGTAAATTTGGCTTGTTATATATATATATGATATTCTTATAATTATTAAAATTAATGAAATATTAATGCTCTTTTCATGCTTTCAATATAAGATTGTTGAAAAGTAAGCGCTCTTACACTCCTGCCGCACGAACTGGTTGCAAGTATTATGGGATTAGAGTGGGTTGTATTTAAGTGTTTGTGAACTTTTACATGTTGGATTCAAGTACAAGCTATTATCTATATGCTATTATTATCTATATGTTAGATGAGATTTGATAATTTATATATGTATATACAATATAGTATTTTTTTTCATATATCTGAGCTAAACCGAACTAAACCGATCAACCCATTAACTCTTAACTCACTAATTCGACTGGGCCGACGGACTAAACCAAGTTGACACGATTGAAATACACCATGACATGTCCATCTAATCCAGTTATTAGTTCCATTTTTTACACCATTACCGAGACAAACAAGATTTTCGTTATTATGCACTGAAGCCCTTACACAAGAATACGAAAACTATTATTTTTTGGAGGTGTTTTTTAATTATAAATTAACGAGAAAGAAATTAAGTAAATTTTGTAAACGCGTCTCCAGCTATATATATATCGACATCTAGAAAAATAGTTTAACACGTTCTATGAGATGGTTTATCTTAGTTAAAAATTTGGAAAATGTATATTATTATTATTGGCACATTGACCCAGCAGCGGCTCAAGATAGGGTGCATAGGTTATGCACCCATCAATAACCAAATCGAACCCTTTATTTAGAAATCCAGATCTAAGGATGGAGAATTAAAGGCTATTTTTATTTTCACTAGTTTTCTTAATTGACTCATATCTTTTTCGTTTTAACTCGGATTTTAATTTTTTTTGCACAGATGGAACGAGTTCACCGTGCTGTACAAAATCATATCAATAGTCAATATTTTTTTTAGGAAAAAAAATTCTGGCATCTCAGTACCAACTGCATACCATATGGTATCTTCTTCATTTTTAATTCGTTTTTGAAAACGTTTGCACAGCAGGGATGAGTTCATCATGATCTACTGGATCTACAAATTTCTGGGTGAACAAATTACAGGACCAAAAAATACCACACAATACCATACAATACCACCCTGGTACGAGGTGGTATTGTATGGTATCTTCTTCGTTTTTAATTTGTTTTTGAAAACGTTTGCACAGAAGGGACGAGTTCATCATGATCTATTGGATCTACAAATTTCTGGGTGAACAAATTACAGGACCAAAAATACCACACAATACCATACAATACCACCCTGGTACGGGGTGGTATTGTGTGGTATACAATGTTAAAAGTCGTAAATTACAATTAATATACTTCTACCATCATGTATTCAACCATCCTACAGTATTGGTTTGTTCATACCACCATGGTACGTTTTTCAAAACATAGGTATGCTTTATTTCAATACCAGTCAATACCATATGGTATAGGCTGGTAAAAAATGGCTCAATATTTTTTTGTTCGAAAAATATATTAAAGTGGATATCATTTTGAAGAGTACAATTAATCTGATCTAACTGTGCAAAAAAAATTAAATTTCGACTTAAAATGAGCGAGAAATCGTCCGTTAAAGATTAAAGAGGGAAAAATTAAAGACTTTCCATGAGAGAGAATATGCTTATGTCATGCTGATGTGGACGGATTACTCATGGTTACTCACTATAAGGTTACTCACCTGATCCATTCCCCCAGCAGCCGGAGGGGACAGGAAAGTCTAATTTGAACAAATTAATAATCAGAAAACAAAGGAAAGAAGATTCGTACTTACCCACTAGGCCACTATAGCTCCTAGTTTGTACAATTCAAGAGAGAAATTGGTGTCCATTCTTTTGTTTCAAATGACTTTTTTTTTTTTCTCTCTCTCGTTATGTTATGTCAATTGTGAAGGCGGTTAAATATGGAGTTATTTAGGGGGACTAAAATTAAACTGGTAGGGTTCCTAACCTCAGTGGCGGAGATGTAGCCATTTTGGTCCTTGTCAAACACTTTGAAGGCCTCTTTGAGTTCCTCCTCTGCATCTGTCTCCTGCAACCAGCGAACGACGTCGTATTCGAAGTATTGATGTTAGCACCGATCGAACCACGTTCCACATCCCGGTTAGTGAAGAGAAGAGAAGAGAAGGCGGGTTGTTACGTTAGTTACGTACCTTGATTTTCTTGGCCATGAGGGTCAAGAACTCGGCGAACTCGATGGTGCCGTTGCCGTCGGCGTCGACCTCCGTGATCATGTCGTGAAGCTCTTCCCCGTCGGGTTTTGATCCAACGACCGGATTACTGTCGCCAGCTCCTCAATCGTAATGCAACCTGCGACACCGTTTCATTCACCTTATATTAACAAACCAATACAAGCCGCGCGGCCAGGCCAATAGAATGGAGAAGAAGACGACGTACCGTCTCCGTCCTTGTCGAAGAGGCAGAAGGCTTCTTTGAACTCCACAATCTGTTCGTCGGTTAGACCGCCCGCCATTGTTGTAGACATCATTGTATTTGTAAGCAAGCTAGCTGTGCACAGTTGTCTTTCTTGGGGGGAAGAAACAGAAGAAATGGGGAAAGTAACAAACGGAAGAGAGAGAGAGAGAGAGTATAGCTTGCTCAGGCTTAGTGGGATGAGGGGTTTATGTAATGTAATGTAATGTAATGTAATGTAATGTAGGTTTTCGATGCGTGTGGTATGCTGCATTATTTTCAATTCTTGTTGATATAATTAATGAGTCAAATAGACTTTTATAATAGAGATATACGACTGAGACTGGATCGACCTTAAGGTAATGGTCATGTTTTTACATGGACAAAGTAGCAAGCTTAATTAATTTAACTTACACCGCTTGTTTTCTCTTCCTTTTTCTCGATCTGTTCAAATTTATCTATGGACTCTCACTCACCCAACACCACCCATTTTTTCGTCTCCTTAGTCCTTAATCGCTTCCCCACTTTTTCAGTTAAAATAATCTGGTGCTATTGTCAATAACATTATATAATTCTTATATATAGAGATTGCCAAAATGCATGCAGTAATTTTGTTGCGTTCGTCAGATCTACATAGCTATTATATATATATATATATATATATGAAATGACTGGTTAGTAGAAGTTGTATCGGAAAAGATCGCGATAAGTTATTTTATGTTGAAAATGTGGTTTAATTATGTTTCAACCACCATTCCATACAACTAAATATTTCCTAAAGGTTTAGCCTGTGATATGAGGTTTTGTGATCAATTTAGCATTATGTCACTTTTTGACCCTATAATCCATAGCAATATATAACTAGTGATTTGAAATTTCTCATACCAACAGATTGGACCCGTTTGTAAAGTTTTAAAATTTCAAGTATTATACGGCAAGTAAAAATATAAAAGTACTAAAATTTGACATGATATATATGTAGTTTATAGACTTTTGTGCTCTGTCTCACTTTGCCTAGCTAGTACGTATCTACATGTCCTAGCCTGCCTCTCTCACTATCAATGCGATGTTACATACAGAGTCATCATATCTTATCGATCGTGTTCCCTACCTCAGGATTTGATCCCATTGGAAGTATGAACTACAAATATAATCATGCAAGAGAAATGAACAATTTACACTCCAAAGCTCCAATTCCGGTCCATGGAATAGCTAGGTTGACGTGGAAGTTAAGTATGAATACTAAATTGAATGATATGTAGTTAAGTCGAGTGGCAGTCAATTGGAGGATAGATGAAACCTCAATCAGGAAGACAACTGTATGAGTCTGATGTTAGGGGGACAAAGACGTAGTTGCAGCTGGTTTTCTATCTTCCCTTTAATTTGTCCAACGCCAACCCAACCCAACCCAAACCCACAAAGCACGCTCTGACCAACTCACTCTGCCTTCCCGCATCACGAGACGAGAGAGACAGACAGAGACCAAACAAAACATTTTCGACAGCTAAGCTAAATCGAAACTCCATACCCATTGCTGATTACTATATATATATGGTTAAGTTGATGATCATCGCCCCAATAACGAGATTCCTAGATTCATCAATCATCATGCTCTCTTTCTTCTCTACAACAAGCTAAGATGCTCCCACAGATTTTTTAATATAGTTGAACTGACCACTACATTAATTGGCTCACTAAAGTCTAATGCCAAATCCGTTCATTGAATTAATGGATATGTGACCACTGATATGCATTTGTGGCTTTGGGGGTTGTTATGGAAGATTGCATGTAAAGTAAAACTAGATAAACTAATAAACTAATTGAACAGTTTGGATTCAGATGTACTCTCTATTCATTATTAAGTACAGATTAGGTGATAACTAAGATCAACTTATTACATCAAACCGCATGTGATTAAGTATGCGTATCAATGGACTATATATGGAGTGGTAAGATAGATGGATGGAAGTTGTTATTAATAAATAAATGTGATCAATTGTTTGTGAGGAAACATTTTCAATGTTAAACTGAATGACCAAGTATCAGTACTCACAATTGTACTAAGATTGAGAATCGTAAGCATAGAGATCAAAGACTAAATATTATTGGCTAATGAGTCAAACATCATCTGCGAATCTTTAAGTTTAAGAATCAATAATGTATATATATGATTCGGGCTCAATTGTACACTTTTTACCCCCGGTTTCCTTAGTCGTTTGAGGTATTTTTACTCTGGGAGGTTTGGTTTTAAGCTGGGTTTTGTCTCGATTTTATGCATTTCAGCCTAGAGCAGGTGGAACCAACCTCAGAGTCGAAAGTTGGATGAAAAGGCAAAAAGTCAAAGGATGTAGGTCGTAGCAGATCACGGTGGAATTCGTTAGTTCACGATCATGGCGACGTGAATTGGAGGCGCAAGCCGTGAAATGCCAGGTGTCCAGGGACATTTTTTATTTCACTGGACTTAAGTCAGTTCACGGTCGTAAGACCATGAACCCAAGTCGTACACCGTAAATTGGATTTATGAGACGACGCGTTTTGGCTTGGGATCACGGTCCGCGACTTGAGTTCACGGTCGTGAACTGGGATCGGGATGTGAGCCCGACCTGGGTATAAAAGGAGTTTGAGCTTAAGGAGAAAAAAGGGAGAGACCTAGTCTGAGAAACTTCTTCTTCAGATTTCTAGAGTGAGAAAGTGACGAAGCAAAGAAGAGAAGAAGCTAGGGTTTCATCTTCAGGCAAGGTTTTGGAAATTCCTTCCCCAAAGGAGGATCTCTTCAACACAAGGAACAAGGCTAGCATTACGATGATGGTTTTTCTTCTTCTCTCTTGTGTTTTCCCTTCTCCTAGCATGGAGTAGTCCCTTATTTCACTTGGATGTTTGCAAACCCTAGCTACAATTATGTAAATGTTGTATGGATTGAATAATTTATGTGTGGATGTGTTTTAATATGAATTTGGAGGTATTTTCATGGAAGATTGTGTTGTGTGTTTGCATATCAATCTATTTGTCATTCTAACCTAGATAGAGAGGAAACCCCCTTTCTTTGAAAGAGGCTCGTAAAGCTGGGTTTTCTTAGGCAAATCTTGTCTCCTATCTAGGTTAATGTAGGGCAACCCTCTTTGTTTGTATTAGCACCTAGGGTTGGTTGTAATTTGGTCGTCCGAACTCCGAGTCAAGGGTGAATTCTTAGCAACCCTTAGTCAATAGGTCAAGAGAGCTACTTTGGTGGCTTGAATCGAATTCCCTTGACCTAGAGACCGAAAGAGTGGTATTTTTCCACTTGTTGCAGTTCCCTGCGGTTTAAAACTTCCTTACAAAACGTTTTCATTCGATCCGACAAGTCATAATTGCTAGCCAGGGGGAGCAACACCCGAGTGACGCCTTCTCAATTAGTGTCAAATCCATTTACTTTTCCAAATGTTTTAACTTTAGATCATCGTTGTCACCAAAAAAACAATCGCTAGATAATGTTACAAGTAATCGAAGTAGGGTTACATGGACCGCCCTGGGTTGACATTTAAACATACTTTTGAAAAGATTGTTTGTTGTTAGTCAAGATTTTACATTTTGATATACTTGTTTATCTCCTCTAAATACGTGCATTTTGCTGTTCTGAATCTTTTTTAGTTATAAACAAGAGAAAGAAGGATGCTTTCTATGGCGAGTTACGCAAGGACGGGAACTTTTTGTACGCCGTATGCCTACTTTTTTTGAAACATTTCCAGTTGTTTTGGTAGACGGAGACGGAATTGTTAGAGCGGATGTTCCTTTTCGAAGAGCCGAATCAAAGTATAGTGTTGAACAAGTAGGGGTAACGGTTGAGTCAGGCAATTCAACTATTAAGGTTGGTTGCTTGTACTTAACTATTGTAGTTGAAATATTCAGAATCTTGAGCTGCCTTGTTTGTTTCCACGTTGAATTTACCACTTAAGCCAAAAATCTGCAACTTGTGTTGTTTCAAACTCCATTTTGGTTAATCATGTAGGCCAACTATATGGGTTCCCTTGCGCGACAACTATATGTTAACAAATCTGAGGATGAAAGACTGAGACAAGAAGCAGGTAGGTCAATTTCCTCTCGCTCACAAACATAAGCAACATAAAACAGAAATTGCAAAAGGAGGTGAAGCAAGAGGAATTTGAGCATGGAATCTCAGACGATGACATGGATCCATCGGCAATAAAGAGGGGTCGTTTCGATCGATTAAGTTCGTCAAATGAGGTGAGTGTAAAGTGGGTAAAATCTCTATCGAGGTCTTTTAGTTTATGTCTTTAATTTCAAGTTATGCTAGTAAATTTTTGAGCTTGCACGATCATATGTGTGAGGCATCCCACCGCCTACTAACGGTGGAGGCACGCATTGTGCTATGTATGACTGAATGTATTGTTGTAATTGATGGTAACTGAACCCCCGGGTGGTTGGACCACTACTGGACGCGGTAGATGGTTGGATCTCTACTGGACGGCGAGACATAACGTAGTAGTTGATCAGGCACGGTACTGGATGGCGAGACGTAACGCAGACCATGGCCGAGTTGGGTATGCAACCGGACGGCGAGATGTAACGCGGTTGGCATACGAAGGTAGGGACACCGGACGGCGAGACGTAACGTGTGATTCCCTAGTGATGTGTGTATAAGTTAAGACACAAGTAGAGAACTTCTATAAGCCTTTAAGGAATTAAGTATAAAGGATGAAAGCGAGAAAGACTTTCGTCTAAGAAAGAAAACCCGCTAATAATGTGTTAGTAAGGAGATTTGCTTATGCAAAGACTTTAGGAAGCAACGACGAGACTTACCCCTTCTCACTCACCAGGTGGAGGAAGGGTTAGCCAAGGTGGATTCCGAGAAGAAGCAAGGTGAGGCGAGCAGTCGTACCAGCATTGAGGAGAAGTCAATGAGTCCATGAGGAGTCAGAGCTAGAATATTTTAATTATTTTGTTGCATGGTTATAAGTATAAACTGGAGACTCTGAATTGAGTTGTTTTAAGTATTTGGATTGTGATTGCCCAAGTGTTAGAGCTTTTTATTTAAAATTCTTAAATAATATCAGTTTTTTTATTTTAAAATGTGGTTTCGGTTGCTCCGAAGTAAATGGTTCGGTTTGAGTTCTAGTTTGGTTTGCGAAAAAGTTCGGGATGTTTCAATGTAACCTGAGGTTCATGAGTGTCCCAGTGCTCCCCGTTGTTGCTCTGCCCTTACTTGTGTACCCAACCCGTCCCATTGTGTTGCTCGCTCCAAGTCTGATTCCAGCGATCGTCGTACTTCCATGCTGATCATCGTACTTCCCTGCCCACCACGTCTCCCCCTGCTTCACTCCATGGCTGCTCGTCGAGAAATCCTCGTCCCATTTGTCGCCCCATTTCGCCCACTTGTCTGTGTACTTCGTGCTCCCTCTGTGCCGTCGTACTTCTCGCCCCACCTGCACAGACACAATGAGGTAAGAAAACACATAGGAGAGAACTAATTGTTGCATTATTAAGAGCTGCGGATGGGTTTACTTTTCATGCCAAACATGAGCATGTCCAACATCGAGCGGCGTTGTTGGGTCAATGATGCACCACTTGTGTGTCCATTTTTCTGCCTTGTTCGATGCATCATAGTGTTCCCACCATTGCTCTTGCCACTCGCCTCCTTTCCCATTCTTCCCCCACTTATCTGCTATTTTCTCAAGATGGACTAGACCAGCATCCTACAAAAATTTTACAGTAAGTTCTAAGCTTTTGGTGTTGTATGTCTAATAGATAGTTGAATCCCTTAGGAAACATGATTCGAGTTACTTGCCAGATTAATTCCCTCAAGTGCTCATGCCAAACGTTGCCACTAGCATCACGCCCAAATTTCTCCGACCCAAGTTCCTTGTAACCAAAGTCATCTGAAGCTTCCCAGAACTTCTCTTGCCACTTAGTCTCTTGATCGGCATTAACACCTCTGGACATCCTCCACCTGCAAATCACGCCATCGGGTCTCCGCTCAACTCCTACATGCTTCCGCCATCTTGACCCATCTGGATGCACTCCAGAGGTCAATGAACTCTCCTACTGATCCGATTCGAGGGCACGAGCTGCCTTTGCTGCGTGTGCTGAGAATTGTTCACCTAGCTAGTGAACTTCCGCTTTGATGGCGGGTATCTCAGGAGTGGATTCAGAAGCCTCGAGGTCCTCAACCTCCATAGAAGACTGCAGGGGTGGGATTATCTGTGGGAGCTTGCTCTCGAAAGGGATGGTCAGAAAGTCCATGCTTCGCTCCTTTTCTTTGACTGGGTTGTACGAATAGGGGGAAGCTTAAGGTTGCCTCAGAGGCTGCAAGCTACCAAGTTACCAACATCATTGGAGTCTGAATCACTTCTCTTTGGAGGTGTCCAGGACCGGGAACTCCATTGCTAGAGTCAGCAGACTTGGGAACAAACAATATTCCTCCATCCTGCTCTCCTGCAACTTTTACTGCACCATGAACACATTACCGTAGATGCTGTGTAACCCACCATAGTTCACATAACTATATCCCTCCCCTTCAACTTACAAGAAAACAATGATCATGTTCCAAGCAAACTGCTTATGTTTTATCCTTTACTCTTGCTTTGCCTCGATCAAGTTACTTCATCTTTAAAAATTTTCCCTTGCAATTTCGAGAGGGGGAGGCCTAGGCTAAAGTATTCCAAAGGTAGTAGAGAAGCTTGCTGAACTTGTTGACCTAATTATATTAGACGAGCCTGGTCCATCACAGGCATCGGCCCACTACACGGCCCATGCTACTGTCCAGCCGAAGCTTCATTCCTCTTCTTGTGAGGAGCAAACCCTAGATGATTGTAACAGGGTATATATTGTAAGGCCATTGGCCATGAACAATTAACGAAGTAATAAGAACTACAGCCGGAGAGACTCTTCTCTCCCGTGGACTAGTCCCGTATATCGGGGATACCACGTAAACACTTGTCTTTTACGTTTCCGCACTTAACAATATTTTACATGGTATCAGAATTGTGAAGCTCGATCTTTGAAGTTCGACCATGGCTGGAGATGATGATTCCTCCTACCTCGAGTCCACGCCGCCGTCCAAGACCGGCACTTCGAGTGGCTACAGCCCCGATCCTCTAAGTCCTTTGTTCATCCATCAATCGGACAGCACTGGACATCTGCACGTCAGCAGTCTCTTGACGCCCTCCAACTATGGTGAATGGGTGTTGGAGATGACCGATGCCCTTGTTATGAAGCACAAGATCGGTTTCGTCGATGGCAGCTTGCCTCGACCAACAGCTAGTGCTCCTGAGACCAACCAATGGGTGCGCTGTGATGCCCTTGTAAAAGGGTGGCTTCGCACAGCCATGGACTCCGAAATTCGCAGCAGTGTGATGCCGTGACCAGAACGAAAGCCTTCGCTTGCTGGATTTTCCTCTGGGTCTCGACGAGACATTTGCCACGGTACGAAGCCAGATCCTCTCTATGACACCTACCCAGACGCTCCCTGAAGCTTTTCGGATCGTCTACAACGACGAGCAGCAACGATCTCTCACACAAAATCGGCGCCCTGCTCCGGAAGCCGCAGCCTTCGCGGCACAAGGAGAAGCCGGCAAAGACAGCAACAACACACGCCGAGGTGGTAGGGATCGATCCTCGGGTGAACGCGGCAAACTTCACTGCACCCACTGCCGCAAAAATGGCCATCTAAAGGAGTCTTGCTTTGAGCTGATTGGATGGCCCTCCCGTGACAAAGGAACTGATCAGCCGCCTCGTCGCCGTGATCGGGATCGTGATGGTGGCAGGAGCCGCGAGCCCCGTGCAGCCCAAACCGAGGCTGAACCTAGTCCAGTGGCAGGCTTTACTGTTCAGCAATTAGAGCAGCTAAAGCAATTTTTCGGAGGTAATCTCATGGGCTCTACTGCCCCGGTTAGCAACATGGCTGGTACGTATTCGTTCTCTTCTGAACCTGAGTGGCTTATTGACTCTGGGTGTAACGAACATATAGCCATGAATTCATCTCTGTTTACTTCGTATGATTCTGAGCGACATAGTCCTCCGGTTCGCATTCCCAATGGGGCAAGTATCCCGGTTACACGTATTGGTTCTGTTGATCTTGCTGCTGGTTTTACTTTGGGGCACGTACTTCATGTCCCCGAATTTCGTTGTAATCTGTTGTCTTTCAGCCGTCTTTGTCAGGACCATCGTGTGGCTTTAATTTTTCTGGGTGATTTCTGCATAATTCAGGACTTACACTCGAAGAGCGTGATTGGGAAGGGGGAACTCCGTGAGGGCCTCTACTATCTGCGTTTATTTGGCTGCAGGCAGGTTCAAGCTCATGCCGTGACCCAGGCAGCAGGAGTTTCGAGTGATTTGTGGCACGCCCGGCTTGGTCACCCATCGTCCCTGAAGTTATCTCAGCTTAGTCCTCTTATTCCTTTGCAAAAGACAATCAGTGATAATTGTCATTCTTGTTTCCGTGCCAAACAGACTCGGAACCCATTTCCAATAAATGCTATTCGCACTACCGATTGTTTTGAACTACTTCACATGGATATTTGGGGTGGCTATCAAACTGCCTCTCTTAGTGGTGCTCACTATTTTTTGACTATCGTTGACGACTATAGTCGCGGTGTCTGGGTGTATCTTCTTCGGTTTAAATCTGAAGTTGGTCGTTATATTGAGATGTTTTATCACATGGTGCTCACACAGTTTGGTCGCAGGGTCAAGCGAATACAGGCAGGCAATGGCCTCGAATTTTCCACTGGAACTCTTCGTGACTTTTATGCTCGTCAGGGTATTCTTTTACAGACCTCATGTACTGATACACCGCAGTAGAACGGAGTTGTAGAAAGGAAGCATCGTCATCTCCTTGAAACAGCCCGTGCACTTCGTTTCAAGGCGTCTCTACCTATTCGTTTCTGGGGCGAGTGTATCCTGACTGCTGCCTACTTGATTAATCGCTTGCCCACTACGGCAACCAAGAATAAGACCCCTTTCGAGATTATTTTTGGCAAACCTGCTTCTTACACTCATCTTCGTGTCTTTGGCTGCCTTGTTTATTGCAAAGACACCCATGCTGCTCTTGGGAAGTTCTCCGATCGTGGTCGCGCTTGTGTGTTCCTCGGCTATGCTGCTAGCCAGAAGGGCTATCGCGCCTACGACTTGTCGACCCGCAAAATGATCACTAGTCGGGATGTGATTTTTTGCGAATCCATGTTTCCTTTTAACCCAGTGACTTCTAAATATTTTCACTGGATTCCCTCGCAGGTTTTTCATCAGCCCCCTGAGCATGGAGAAGACGAGCTCCTTCTCTCTCCTACAAATGGGCTTGGAGCCATCTCGGGCCAAGGCCCACCAGTTGATGAGGAGCAGACTCGTTCTCCCCAGCCTACTCAGGCCCCCGTTGCGCATCCCCGCCCGGCCCAAGATGACCAGCCTAGCCCCGCCGCTCAGCCGGGCCCCTCTTCACCTGGGCCGACTAACGGGCCTGTGCCCTCTCCTCCCACGAGCCCCTCGCCTGCTGCACCTTCGGCTCCATCCCAGCCCACTGGGCGCCCCGACGTCTGGTGGACTACTACACTGGTAGCAAGGTGAATTATGTTCGCTACCCCATGGCGTCTTATGTTGCTTATGATCGTGTCACTCCTTTCTATGGAGCTTTTGTTGCAACCATAACAACCCAGGTGGAGCCTCGCACTTTTCGGCAGGCCGTTGTTGATGAACGTTGGCGTCTCGCCATGCGCACTGAGATTAGTGCCCTTGAGAAAAATGGCACATGGAGTCTCGTTGATCTACCACCAGGAAAACGTTGCATTGACTGCAAATGGGTGTATAAAATAAAGTTTCACCCTGATGGTTCTATTGAGCGTTATAAAGTTCGCCTTGTCGCCAAAGGCTACACTCAAATTGAGGGTGTCGATTTTCACGACACGTTTGCACCGGTTGCCAAGTTGGTGACTGATCGAAGTCTCCTTGCTGTTGCAGTCAGTAAAGGATGGTATGTTCACCAGTTAGATGTGAACAATGCTTTTCTCCATGGGGACCTGGACGAGGAGGTTTACATGCGCATTCCCGAAGGTTTCGCTGCTCCTGGTGAGACTCGTGTTTGTCGACTAAATAAGTCTCTCTATGGTCTTAAATAGGCATCCCGGAACTGGTATCAGAAGTTCACCACTGCTCTTTGTGAACTTCAGTTTCGTGCTTCTCATGCAGACCACTCTTTATTTATCTACCAGCGGGGGAGCACCTTTGTTTGTTGCTCTCATTTATGTTGATGATGTCCTTCTCGCCGGTAATGATCTCAGTTTCATATCCCGCGTGAAGTCCTTTCTCGATGCTCGTTTTAGCATCAAGGATCTTGGTCCGATCCGTTATTTCCTTGGGCTTGAGGCTGCTCGCTCTTCTGCTGGTATGATTCTCAGCCAACGCAAGTACGTTCTGGACATTTTGGCTGATGCTGGGGTCGCTGGTTGTCGGCCCAGCCTGTTTCCTGTTGAGCAGAATCATCATCTCACTCGACCTGATGACTCTGAGCCTGCCGAGGATCCTTCTGCTTATCGTCGTCTGGTCGGTCGTCTCTTGTACTTGACTGTTACTCGACCTGACATTACATATGGGGTAAATCTTCTCAGCCAGTTTGTGAATGCCCCCACTCGTGCTCATATGGATGCCGCTCAGCGTATCCTCAGATATCTGAAGATGTCCCCTGGACAAGGTCTCTTTCTCCCTACTAATAATGATCTGCAGCTTACCGCTTATTGTGACGCAGATTGGGGAGGCTGTCAGTCAACTCGTCGCTCAACAACAGGTTATTATATTACACTTGGGGGAGCTCCCGTGTCCTGGCGCACCAAGAAGCAGCAGGTTGTTGCTCGCTCTTCCGCCGAGGCTGAATATCGTGCCATGGCCAGCACTGTCAGTGAATTGCTTTGGTTACGTTGGCTTCTGCGCGAGCTAGGTGCCCCCCAGGATGGTCCCACACCGCTCTATTGCGATAATCAGGCTGCTCTTCACATCGCAGCCAATCCTGTTTTTCACGAGCGCACTAAACATGTGGAGATGGATTGCTACTTTGTTCGAGAAAGGGTTCAATCTCGTGACGTTGCCCCCCTCAAAGTTAGCTCCACTCTTCAGCTGGCTGACCTTTTCACTAAAGGACTTGGTGTTGATCGTTTTCATTTCTTACTGGCCAAGATGGGCGTTCGTGACCTTCACGCGCCATCTTGCGGGGGAGTATTAGACGAGCCTGGTCCATCACAGGCATCGGCCCACTACACGGCCCATGCTACTGTCCAGCCGAAGCTTCATTCCTCTTCTTGTGAGGAGCAAACCCTAGATGATTGTAACAGGGTATATATTGTAAGGCCATTGGCCATGAACAATTAACGAAGTAATAAGAACTACAGCCGGAGAGACTCTTCTCTCCCGTGGACTAGTCCCGTATATCGGGGATACCACGTAAACACTTGTCTTTTACGTTTCCGCACTTAACAATATTTTACAAATTATGGATCTTGGTAGCAGAGTAGCAGCAATATGAAACCCTATGCTTCTGAAGTATTATGCATTATGTAACGTCAAAGATGAATGGAGTAGTCAAATCTCATTTACCTTCTTCTTCCGTATCTCCTCCTCGGCTTTGGTCGGAGTCATCGGCACCATCATTTCACCCGGAATCAGCAGCAGACTTCTCCTTCATCCCCTTGAGAACAGATGGAGCGGCTGCAATTGCAGCGGCGGCGCGATCAATCACTTGCATTCCCTAAATCCGGTCTCTGTCCTCGTCTGAGACATCCACAATCTTGCTGAACTCCTAGCTTTTTCTTCTCCAAATCCACCGGTTCCCGTCATCAATCTGAGGCAAGGTATCAGCAATCTTCTGGAACTCTGCCGCCTTGCGCTCCCGCTCGACGGCGCTCTTCCACATGTCCAAGTAGGAAGTCTCATCTCTGGAACCCCTAACACACAATCCCGTCGATTCTCTGTCGCTCCGGCTGTTCCTCGTGCCGACATCGGACAGCAGCAACAGCTGCTCCAATGGCGAAGAGAACGCTTCAGGTTGCTAGTTTACTGAAGGAAACTTGATTTCTCAATTGATTGAATGAAAAACGTACATTAACCAGCTGAGATTGCTGGTTTTATACCTAGCTTACAGGGAAGAGAGGAGAGAGAAAAGGAGGGAAAAGTTGTTACAGGTCTAACTAACTATCCTAAATTACATATTAGTACCTATACATTTGAACTAATTACAAAACGATCCTTCGTATCCTTAATACCCCCCCCCCCTCAAGCTAAACGTGGATAGCTTTCAGGTTGAGCTTGGAAATCAATTCGACGAAGGTGTGAACAGGAAGAGCTTTCGTGAAAGGGTCGGCCAGCTGCAGGGTAGTGGAGATGTGCTGAACCTTCAATTTCTGCGCCAAAACTTGGTCTCGCTCTTAAACCTATAGAAGCCATCTTCAATCTGAAACAAGGTACTCTTAGTGTTTCTCAGTACTACTCGAAGCAAAGAGCCTTGTGGGATCAACTAGCCAACTATAGGTTTATCCCTGATTGTGAATGTGGAATCACCTGCCATTGTGTCTTAGCTACCTTGCGTAAGGATCATATGAATGACAAGGTTATTCGTTTCTTGAGGAATCTCAATGATAGTTTTAATGGTCCTCGCTCTACTGTGATGCTACTTGATCCCTTACCTCCCATCAATAAGGTGTTTGCAATGATGGTGCAACACGAAAGGGAAAACGGTTTATTGCCAAAACCTCAGCCTGCTCATAACCCTGCTTCAGAAAGCATGGCGTTCTTCACCAAGGCAGCTGGACAGCATCTGGGTGTTCAGGGTGCTGGTCAGGGGTTCAAGAAGCAAAGTAAGAAACCTGTATGCACTTTTTGTGGCTACACTGGTCACACAGAAGATGTCTGTTACAAGAAGAATGGTTACCCTCCTGGGTATCAATCCAAGAAGAAACAAATGCCTTCTCGCCAAGCCAACAGTGTTTCTATTGATCAGGGTTCTTCCACCAATGGTGCAGTTATGATCAATCACTCTGACTGGCAGAGTTTCCAACAGCAGTATCAGAAGATGCTCAGTTTCATGACTCCTTTTACCCAACAGCAGAATGTTGGTACCAATGGCCATTCCTTTGGTCAGTTTCCTGCTCCATCACAGCAGCAGCAGCATTCTCTCCCTGCACCAGCTGCTTTTCAGGATGCTTATCCTACTAATAACCCCTCTCACTACTCAGCATCAAATGATAGTGAAGGTTCTGGTCATCACAACATGATCAGCAGGGCCAATTCTGTTGCATCTCATGTCTTTGAGACTGCTGAGCCCTCAGGTACATTCCATTATGCTTTAAATGTCAACTGTCATTTACACAATAAATGGATCTTAGACACTGGTGCTACAGATCATATAATCTGTTCTCCAAGATTCTTTTCTGATTATAAACTTGTTTCCAACGTTTTTGTGCATATGCCTAATGGGAGCAAGGTTTCTGTTGATGCAATTGGCACTGTCCAGTACTCAGAACACTTAGTTTTGTATGATGTGCTTCTTGTGCCATCATTCAGTTTCAATTTAGTGTCTGTAAGCAAATTGGTTCGAAGTACTACTATTTGCTTATGGTTTCATTATTCACTATGTTTCATTCAGGCCTACCCCAGTTTGAAAATGATTGGAACAGCTAGCCTGCTGGAAGGACTGTACATTCTACATAGTCCATCTCAAACTAATCAACTACAGCAGAATCTGATCCTTCAGACTACTCAACCATCATCACACAGAGTTGCTTTTTCTTCACAAAAGTCCATTGATGTATGGCACTATAGACTTGGTCACATACCAACCTGTAAACTCAAGCAAATGCAGAACATAGATAGTACTGTTTCTTTCCATTCTGATTCCCACTGTACTGTATGCCCTCAAGCAAAATTGAAGAGGCTACCTTTTCCTACTAGTACAAGTACAACTCAGAATGTTTTTGACATCATTCATGTTGATATATGGGGCAATGCTCCAGTTAAGTCTTTTCAAGGCCATTCTTACTTCCTCACTATAGTTGATGATTTCACTAGGCACACTTGGATTTTCACCATGAAAAACAAGTCAGAAGCTCGACCTATAATCATCTCTTTCTTTGCTTTTGTGGAAACACAGTTTAAAGCTAAAATTAAAGTCATCAGAACAGATAATGGTCTGGAATTTCAAATTCCAGATTTCTATAACTCAAAAGGAACAATCCATCAAACCACATGTGTCTATACATCTCAACAGAATGGTATTGTTGAAAGGAAACACCAGCATATTTTGGCTGTGACAAGAGCATTACTTTTCCAAGCCTCATTACCTTCTCAATTCTGGAATTATGCAGCTATGCATGCTGTTCACTTAATAAACAGAACTCCTTCCACCATTATTGGCAATATCACTCCTTTTGAAAAACTACATGGCACTCCACCCTCACTCAGTCATTTAAGGGTGTTTGGTTGCCTCACATATGCTGCCACAATTCAGGCAACAAGAACAAAACTTGATCCTAGGGCAAATCCATGCATTTACCTAGGTCATCCCCATGGAACTAAAGGATATCGTTTGCACAATCTTATCACCCACAATATCCTCACATCCAGAGATGTTTCATTTCATGAAACTATCTTTCCATTCAGCCCTCAAAACCAGAAGTTGGACAACTCAGTTTCTTTACCTGTTTTCCCAGCAGTAACTGCTGAATTAGACTTCACAAGGGCACACACTTGTTCTTCCATACCAACTTCTTTACCTGTCATCAACCAAACCATTCCAATTCCAGACAATTCTGGACCACCAATCCCTTCCACATCTGCTGATCTTCCCTTGAGAAGATCCACTAGGCAGATAACCAAGCCTGCCAGATTTAAGGATTACAAGTGTAACCTTATCAGTCAAGCCAGTTTACTTTCTAAAGTAACCTATCCAATTCAAGGACAACTATCCTATAGTTCTCTTAGTCCTAATCACAGGAGGTTTGCTCTTGCAATCACACACATCAGAGAACCTACCACTTACAAAGAAGCTTCCAAGTCCAAAGAATGGCTTCAAGCAGTCAATTCAGAGTTTGCTTCTTTGGAGAAAACAAAGACATGGGTCTTAGTTGATCCTCCTCCCAATGTACCTATAATTGGTAATAAATGGGTTTTTCGACTTAAATTTAAGCAAGATGGCACTATTGACAAGTATAAAGCTAGGCTGGTTGCCAAAGGCTACACCCAGACCCCTGGAGTTGATTATTTAGATACATTTTCTCCTGTTGTTAAGATGACAACAGTTAGGATACTTCTAGCTTTGGCTGCAATTTATAACTGGCATCTAGAACAACTAGATGTTAACACAGCCTTTCTTCATGGAGACCTATATGAGGAGGTCTACATGAAGCTTCCTCCTGGCCTACAAGTGAGTCCTGCTGATCAGAACAAAGTCTGCAAACTCACAAAGTCACTCTATGGTTTAAAACAAGCCAGTCGCCAATGGTTTGAAAAACTTGCTGCCACTTTAGAAAACCTAGGCTATCACAAATCACATAGTGATTACTCGCTTTTCACCAAACACAATGGTGCTTCTTTTACTGCTCTTCTAGTCTATGTTGACGACATTATACTCACAGGCAATGATATGCCAGAGATTAAGCATGTTAAGCACCAACTGGATGTTGCCTTTACTATTAAAGACTTAGGACCTTTGAAATACTTCCTAGGCATGGAAGTATCCAGGTCAGAAACAGGAATACATCTGTGTCAAAGGAAGTATGTTCTTGACCTCCTTTCAGACACAGGGTTCCTAGGTTCTAAGCCAGCAACCACACCATCCATTCCTGCCACACACCTTTCTGCCAATGATGGAACTTTACTCAATTCAACTGATCATAGTTCATACAGAACACTAATTGGTAGATTTCAATATCTGTGCAATACACGTCCTGACATTTGCTATACAGTTAATCAATTAAGTCAATTTGTTGACTCCCCTACTACAGTTCATGAGCAAGCCACACATCGACTTCTCCGCTATCTAAAAACAACACCAGCCAAAGGGCTTTTCTTTCCTAGCAATTCATCTATTCGACTTACAGCTTTTTCTGATTCTGACTGGGCCGGTTGCCCAGACACACGAAGGTCAGTAACTGGGTTTTGTGTCTTCTTAGGTAACTCCCTCATCAGTTGGCGCTCCAAGAAGCAGCAGACCGTCTCACGATCCTCCGCTGAAGCAGAGTACAGGGCACTCGCTGATACAGCTCAAGAACTCCAATGGATGACAACCCTCTTTCGTCAGCTCCCGATTCAGCCTCAGCAACCCTTCACCATTTATTGCGACAGTTTATCTGCAGTGAAGATGACCCAGAACCCAGTTCAGCACGAGCGCACCAAACACATTGAAGTCGATTGCCACTTCACTCGAGACCAAGTTTTGGCGCAGAAATTGAAGGTTCAGCACATCTCCACTACCCTGCAGCTGGCCGACCCTTTCACGAAAGCTCTTCCTGTTCACACCTTCGTCGAATTGATTTCCAAGCTCAACCTGAAAGCTATCCACGTTTAGCTTGAGGGGGGGTATTAAGGATACGAAGGATCGTTTTGTAATTAGTTCAAATGTATAGGTACTAATATGTAATTTAGGATAGTTAGTTAGACCTGTAACAACTTTTCCCTCCTTTTCTCTCTCTTCTCTTCCCTGTAAGCTAGGTATAAAACCAGCAATCTCAGCTGGTTAATGTACGTTTTTCATTCAATCAATTGAGAAATCAAGTTTCCTTCAGTAAACTAGCATTGGAGCAGATCACGTGTTGATTTTATGCTTAAAGAAAGATGAAGATCGATGCCCCCGGCTTTGCAAAGGAACACTAAGACGTCCTTATTATCAGCTGGTTTGAACCCCATTTTGGCTGTATAAAAAATGTCTTCACACGTTACTGTCCTTGCTGCTGCTATCCGCTCTCTTCCTCGATCGTCTCGACATAAACGGATTTGTGAGATAACAATAATAACATCGAAAACTTGTCGACCAACAACGATCGACCATCGATGATTGCTAGAGATTCTGAATTTCCACACGTTCGTCTTAACAAGAGTTTGTCCGATAGTGGTGATGGCTCCGGCCGGCGACTCCACAATACACCATTCTGCCAATTAAAGTTGACGTGTCTCGGTTTGTTAGTCATGTTGGTATAGCCTCCGGCCGACGCCACAACGCAACATTTTGTATCAATCAGTTGGCGTACAATAAACTGTTTTGGCATTATTTTCAAGAAAAATGACGGGAGATCGAGCGACGATCAATTCGTTGTCTTGAAGTTTGTCGAGAAAATTCATAACGTGATTGAGAACATGTGACGTTCGGGGATTAATTAAGAGTGTTTGATCTTGTGAGTCGAATGTAGTATAAGAAGGATCTCGATAATAAAGTATTTTTTTGCAATTTTCGACATTTGTATGACGTCGACACACACGACTTATTATATTAACTACAAAAGTAGAAGTATGACGTACATCCGCCACATCTCTAAATAATATTTGTGTACAACAAAACTCAATATGGAAAACTTGTATAATTTAGTTCTTTTTCATTGCCACTGATTAACCTCACTTCACTAAGTATATGGAATCCACACCCAAGCTTTAAGCAGATGATTAATACTCCAAGCATAGACGGCATTCTAACTAATAATCCAAACCCAATCACATTCACAATTAAATTTAATCCTTCCCGCCTTGCCATCTCCGTCAGTCCTCTTATATATCACCACTTTTCTTCCCCATCTATAGGAAAATCCTTCTCTTCCTCTCTCTACCTCTTTTTCCTTCCATGGGATCGGAAGCAAGCCGACCGTCAAACCGGAAAAAGCCACCCCCTCCCGCCGCCGCCGTCCTCCGCCGCCGCCGGCGAAAAATGGGCCCCGCCAAATCCTTAATAGAATGGCTCAAACCCGACTGCTTCTTCCCCAACAAGAAGAAGAAGAACCCGCCGCCACCATCATCCAGAAGCCCAGCCGCCGGCAACGGCCGCCGGAGAAAACCACGGCCATCCCCCGGCACGCCGTTGACGCTGGAGGAGCACCTCTCGTCGACGTCTCCCCTGCCCATGGGTCTGGTCCGACCGGCCTCGACTGGACGGTCCTGGAAACTGCCCGACCCGTCATCCGGTCCGACCGGGTGCGGAGTTCGGAAACCTTCTCCCAAACGGATCCACCCGTCTTCATCATCGTCCGCCGCCAGCGGCGGACGGCGGAGGAAGGGGAAGGGGAAGGAGAACAACAGCTTTACGCTGGAGACGCTGGTGAAGCTGGACAGGGAGTCGAAGGACGATTACTTCAGCGGGAGCAGCAGCCGGGGCAATTTGGGTGACGGGTCGGGTGTCGGGCGGCCGGCGGGGAGCCAGAGCTGCCGGCGGGAAGGGAAGAAGAATGGGAAGAGCGTGAGGTTTACGTTGCCAGGAGACGGCGACGTTTTGGTTTTCTATTCCCCGAGGGCGCCGATTGATAGGCCCTTTCACTCTCTTTGAAGTTTCTTAAACAATAATATGATGATGATGATGATATGATATAAACATATGATCCTTTGATTGTATATTTTGGCAAGCCAAATTACTAGTCAAACAAACGTCCTTTTTTTTGTTGTTGTTCTATCGTTGAATCTTATTTTGTGTGGAAGCTAATTACTTATTTTGTTATTGATACAGTCGTAGTAATTAATTTATTCACACTTGTTTTTTTTTTATGAAATCTCATTTTTTACTACAAATATAGCAGCTTTCTAGCGCAAACGTCAAGACTGCGACCCTAAGATGGTCGTTTTAAATTATTTCACATCATTCTTGATTTATTACATCCTAGTAATGGGGAGTGCGTAGTTATTTTTTGACAAAATAAAATTATCCCTTTTGTAAGTCATATGTCGTCAACCTATCGATTTCTCTAGTGACTGTGTACTCATCGGTCCATCTTCTTGTACATTTTCCATCCTTTCAGCTGGGATGTACATATTGTGCATAGTTTTCCTTC